CCCCAAAACCCCAAAACCCCAAAACCCCAAAACCCCAAAACCCCAAAACCCCAGGTATTAATAAAATTATTGAAAATAGATATGGCTAAAGGCAAAGAAAAGAAACATCAGAAGCAAAAGTCTCAAGATAAGGATGTTGGAAAGAGTAAGATTCAACACATGGAGAAATCTCTCTCTTCATCTAATGCAAACAAAAAAGAAAACAAGAGGAAACATCAGGAGAAGAAAAATAAGCAAAGATTTGATAAACAAGAAGACGTAAAGCCAGAAAAGAGCCAAGGTACAGGACTATTCACTGTATCTGGATGACTCTTGTTTGTTCTCTGGACTTCACCTATTATCAACGCCTACTTAATTTATGAATATGGGAACATATTAATCAATGCTCTAATCTGGACTACTATGTATACCTTGTACTGAGTCATATCTTTGATTAGCCATGCTGCATTCCCGAGTGCGATGAATGATAGAGTAAACATCATCGTTGCTATTTTAATCATATTCTGCAACTACCTATATCTGTACCCAGGATATCAGATCATTACAAGACAAGTTGAGCAAGAGTCTCATAAAGAAAGATTAGCAGCAAGCTTAATCATGTTTGTTTTTGGTATTTTCTTGACCTTAACTTCAAATTGCCAGAAATATTTCACTCTTCAAGCTATAAAGGCCCAGAATCCACATAAGAAATTCTTGATTAAGGAAGGAATGTTCAAGTGGACCAGAAACCCTAATTATTTAGGAGAAATCTTGACTTTCTTCTCCTTCTGTAATCTCTACTCCAACTGGGATTCATGGATTCTGTACAGCATTCTTTTGTTCAGCTCAATGTATCCAATGATGCTTAAGAAAGATGAATCATTGAAGACCAAAGAAGGAGCAGAGGAGTATCTCAAAAGTAGTGGATTCTTACTTCCTAAATTCACAACTTGCTGGCTTGTTCTCTTTATGACCTATATCAATATAATTATGTTCTTATTGTGCTTGAACCTGTCAGGAGGAGTAGAGAAAATGGCAAAGAATGCTATTTATATGATAAAAACATGTGGAATTATGTAAAACATATTTACGTCACTATCTCTTTGTCTACTGAATAAGTAATGAAATTTTAGGCAGGAAGAAGCTAAAGGATCTCACTTTTGATAAAATTCAATAAATCTTCTTTTTTAGGGGTTTTGGGGTTTTGGGGTTTTGGGGTTTTGGGG